CACAAATTGATTGTGCTCGCGGGTGTTCTAGCTGGCTAAAACATGGCGCCTGTTGTCACGTGATCCCATATTTTCGGTCCCCCTATGTCGCTACTCTCTTTATATAGGTACTCTAGAGCTTCTGTTATGCTGTGATTAGGGTTACAATTCGGTTGGGGTTAGTGTTAGAGTTACGGTAAGAGTAAGTGTTAGAGTTAGGGTAAGAGTAAGTGTTAGAGTTAGGGTAAGGGATAGAGCTTCTGTTATGCTGTGATTAGGGTTACAATTCGGTTGGGGTTAGTGTTAGAGTTACAGTAAGAGTAAGTGTTAGAGTTAGGGTAAGAGCAAGTGTTAGAGTTAGGGTAAGGGATAGATCTGTTATGCTGTTATTAGGGTTACAATTCGGTTGCGGTTAGTGTTAGAGTTACGGTAAGAGTAAGTGTTAGAGTTAGGGTAAGGGATAGAGCTTCTGTTATGCTGTGATTTGGGTTACAATTCGGTTGGGGTTAGTGTTACACTTAGGGTAAGGGATAGCTAGAGCTTCTGTAATGCTGTTATTAGGGTTATGATTCGGTTGGGGTGAGGGTTTGAGCTTTGATTCGGTAAGGATTAAGGTTAGGGTCATGGTTATTCTGTTAGAATTAGAGCTGCATTTCAGTTAGTGGATTTCATACTCCCAGTTATTCCAAGGTGTGGGAGACTTCACGAATGGGAGCCTCAGAAATAAAGGAGATTCCAAAGCAGGGGCGACACCAAAAAAGTGACTTCAAAAACAGGAAGGCTCCCTTATCTGTATTTACACCCCATAGCAGGGCTCCCTCTGCATATTTTAAAGTTTGGCCTAAGACTTGAGCCACCAAAGTTAATTTACAGCCACTAATAAAAACTATAGTTACTGTTCACTTTATCGTATGTGCTAAGCAAGTCATAAACAGGTGACGGGTACGAGAAAAGAGATGTACGAAAACATTTTATGACACGACACTGCAATTTGACGATTTCGTTAGTAAATCGTAATTTTCTGAGCAGTTAAACCATTCGCCAATTATTCGTTACTTAGTGTCATAAAATCGCCACTGTTATTTATTCATCGCATTTTGCGAAGGTGGCGAACGCCAGCGGTAGCCCTGCCATAGTTTGATTAGAATTTGTCTCTGTGAGATGCAAGAGCTTTTATTCCACTCTCCACACATCACCCACGCGTATTGCTAAATCTGGTGGATTTATAGCTGTGACCTCATCTTCGTAGCATACCTTGTTACGTCTGGGGCAGTGACATGCAGTGTTGCAGTGTTGCAGTGCGTCAATGATGATATTTATTTCCACATGTTTTTCCCAGCAGGAGAGCGTTAGCGAGAGCTCGAAACGAGGCAGAACTGAGCACCTGCAATCTGTCTGATGGAGTCTTCTCATTCAGATATGCCACGCCCTGGAGGAGAGAAGTCCTACGTGTGTGGTGTGTGTGGATACGCCGGCTCCAAGTTACGTTATCTCAAGAGACATATGCGCACTCACACAGCAGAGAAGCCATATGCATGTGAGAGATGTGAATATAAGTGTTCTACGTCTGATATGCTTAAGACACACGTCTACACTCACACGGGTGAAAAGCCATATGCGTGCGACATATGTGAATACAGGTGTAGGACCTCCAGTAATCTCAAGAATCACACGCGCACTCACACGGGAGAGAAGCCGTATGCATGCGATATATGTGAACACAGGTGTACGACCTCCAGTGTTCTCAAGAGACACATGCGCACTCACACGGGAGAGAAGCCATTTATGTGCGATAGTTGTGAATACAGGTGTTCTAGGTATGGTACGCTTAAGATACACATGCGCACTCACACAGGAGAGAAGCCATTTATGTGCGATAGGTGTGAATACAGGTGTTCTAGGTATGGTACGCTTAAGATACNTTTTTATATTCTGGTGTTATTTTAGGGGATAAAAAACAACCAGAAATAATAAATGAAAAAATGAACCAGAAAAACATAACCAGAAAAAATAACACCTAAAATAACACCAGAATATAAAAATTTTTAGGGCACAATTTATTGGTCTATACAGAAGTGTACCCTAACGGTCTAACCCTAACCCTAGCCCTTTATATATCCCTAACCCTAACCGAAACCTTAAACCCTTTATATTCTTTATTTTTTTATAAAAATATAATACATACACTACTAAACACCATCCTAAAACTACCTCGGGTACATATCTGTAGTACCTGATACGACAACGACCCCATCTGCAGTACTACTAGTACTAGTACTACTATAGTACTATATCGATCTCTATTATCTATATAGTCTATAGATTATATAGACTATAATCTAAAAGCGTGCACAGCTTATAAAGCCTATGTGAAGCTATAAAAAATGCGTCTATTATTTAGTATTAAGCCTATTAACGTGTGGCTTTATAAGTAAGGTTGGCATAATCATCAGTATGTTGATGGTGGCCAATATAGCGTAGAAGCTTTGTTATTTTTTCAACTAAACGCATTGGTAAAAAAATATTAAATACGCTAAACGTATTTTAAACGGATTTTTACTGCAATTTTGTGAAAGAATTATCTGAAAAGCTAATGTGCCGTGACGTCACGAGAATGACGTAGGGTTTGGTACAGGGTTTGTTACAATCCCAGTTCTAGTACAGCGTATCATGTATGCTACCACATAGCTCTAGTAACTATAGCCTGCGTACAGTTGCCGCTGGCAGCCAGCGGCAACTGTACGTGGGCTATAGTTATACTAGAGCTAGCTACCACATTGCAGATTTATGTAGATTTCTATGATTTTATCGACAGATATCGAACAAAACTTACATATTATGTTAGTATAATACTAGCACTATAAGTAGTTGTCAAAACTAGCTATAAAATTAAGCAATTTCATGTAATATGTTAATTGCTAACGATATTCATAACAAACCCACTCGCACCGGTGTTTACACATGTATGCTACACTGCAGATTTCTGGATTTGGTAACGCCTTACGTAACACTTACGCAGGCCTGTGGCGGAGCGGAGGGCTATATAGTTCTAGAGCTACTAAGCACCATGCACTGCTAGACAGTAGACTTAAATTAAACAAATTTATTTGTGGTGTTAGGGTTGTTTTTTATCACTGACACTTGCACCTGCCTTAGAAGCCATAGCTAGGGTAAAGTTTGAGCAAAATAAGGTATGAATTGCATAAAATCAAGAGCTCACCACCAAATGCTGCAGTGGCCACCCGGTAAACTAATAGGAATTTCAAATGAATTTTAGCCGGTCTAAAAGAGGTTGTGGACCATCAGTGTCCTGAAAATCGGTGGTGTACCTGTATATATAATATAATATATATATACCTATATCACTCTTTCAATTCCAACTTCAGGTGGTTGAACACATGAGGAAGATGCCTGACCTGAAGTCTATCATACTGTGCGGCATCGAGACGCACGTCTGCGTTCAGAACACGACTCTCGACCTGCTGGAGCACGGCTACGACGTGCACGTCGTCGCCGATGCCTGCTCCTCGCGCAGCATGGCCGACCGCATGTTCGCACTGCAGCGGGTGCGCAACGCCGGAGCGTTTCTGACGACGAGCGAGAGCAGGTGCATGCAAGTGCAGGCCATGTCGTGTTGCTACTATGTTCACTTGTCCCTGGTGAATGCATGATAGGAATTATCTAAGTCTAAACGATGAACTAGTCTGTTTTTTGAAGAGGCCTTCAGCCTATTCGATGTAGTAAACGTTGCTTGTGCTTTCCTCACACGAGATCATCTATCACATGGCTGTTATAGGCACTGCATAGCTGACGAGATTTGTTTTGAGCTTGTGGAAGAGCAGTGGTGTATCAGCTATTTACGAGTGTTGAGTAGCGTGTATAATGTATAGAGTCATTTTCCGAGCCAACAACACGTTACAGAAGCGTATTATCTTAGTTTGATGAACATTCACGTATGTTCGTTGTGGCATTGACGGACTTGTAAGATTACAAGCGCACTAAAAATGAATGACCGATCCAGTTGTCTGGATGGCCGTGTAGGGAAGGCACATGTGAGTATATGGAACGTCGTGGTGACGAGTCTATAAAAGAACGAGGCACGACCCTCGCTGTCGACGTTCGTCACCCGTCTTAGATGAGATGTTATTTTTCTAGTCTGGTTGGTTGCCTGACGTATTGGCGTCAGTAAAATGAGGACTGACTAATAGGCCTATACATGCCACAATAACTAGACACGTTCGTTCGCATTGGTTTTCTCTGTAGTAGTTGTGTATAGTTACTGTTTGTACGACACGCACTTATTGTGTATTTGTGGCAATCAGTTCCGTCCATTTCTGATATAATCTAGCTGCAATGAGTGCTATATTTTATTGTCCACGAACCATGGTTCTATATTCTTCTTAAACAATATGTTACTTTTAGTAAATTCACTTGATAATTACTGTCTATGTGAATAGTAATAGATATCCAGTCTAGAGTTATTCCAAAGAAAGAGCTATTAAAGTAAAGGGATGTATGTGCTTCGCAAATACTTTGCGCGTATTTTTTTGCAATATGGTTGCTGATATGTAGAGAACTCTAATAGCCGATGCACTGTGCGTTGGTGACTGTGGCAACTGTCAAAACGTTGATCAGATTCCTTATCCTGTGTATAGCGCTCATTGTGCTGCCTGTCGTTATTTGTTAAAATCTAGTACAGATGAACCGTCCAGATCGTTCTCACGCTATTCTTATTTCGGAGATATTTGTGTACTGACTGCGCTTGTTGACCGCTTGCCTGCTGCGAGGGTGTACTAGTCTCCATTACCCCTCCCCCTATTCGGTCGGCCACCTCGACTGCAAATGCTGGCAGTGGTTTCCAGCGATTTTTACCTAGGGTCTACCTAGCTACAGAGCTAAGTCGTGAATCACACTAACCACGTAGCGCTAAAGTATCAGTGACAGGCGTGATCTGGAAGAACGCCGTAGTTCGAAGTCTTGGTGTTTGTGCAGTCCCTGTCGTTTCACCCTCCTAGGTAGCTATGGTACGCTGCGTTTAGTCTCTGAACGAGGTATTCTCGTGTATTTTTCGGCCAGCTCCGGTAGCGAGCTGGCCAGTCACAAGTGCAAACGTATCCAGCGTATGTTTAGTTATGTGAGTTTTAACCTATTTTACCACCAGTAGGGAAAGTGTTCACGTAAAGGCCACATATGTGTGGTCTTTAGAAAATGTAACTGCAGTAGTTTGTTGAATCGGTGCCCCGAATGCTTGTTCGTGATGCGCTAGAATCGTCACTATATTCCTGACAACTCGATCATAATGTTGGTAAATGTCTGCTAGCAGTTTCTGCTAGTGGTGATAGCATCAGGTTAGATGGCCACTTACATTGTACACGATTTCACTTTACATGTATATATGTTGCAGCTGTTACATTTTTGAAAGCTCAATAAATGTTTGCAGGAAATTTAAGCGTAGGCCTATTATTGATTATATAGTAGGTTGTTATATGCTAAACTTTATGTTCATTAGTACATATCACATTCAGTCTATGCCGTTGCTGAGTTAATTAATGTCCAGAATGCATTATTTCTGCAAATTTAAACAAACTACCAGGCAATATATTTATACACCAGCAACAATAACCACCACAGGTATGCTATACATTTCGTTATATTCTTAATTTGTATTCATGATTTACTGTGTAGTAGTTATAAAAACAATTACAAAATATACTGCTTTGTACTAATACAAGTTTGCTTTTTTTAACTCCCCAAACACTATGGCCGTCTGACAGAGCCAGCTAAATTATCCACCACAATGGAAACAAGCTGACGCAACCAACCCTGATAAAGCACACATAGCAATGCATACATCCATAACATTACCTAGCTTTTACTGGCAGCCAAGTCTCAGGTAGCCGCAAGCAAATAATATGGTCACCACGAATCTTTATACTAAGACAGGTATATACCTTTATGCCTCGTCCACTGTCGTCTAGGTTCAGGCTATACTAGGTTGCGACTGACCTCCTAATGCAGAGCAAATGCTGTCGAAGAACTCCCTGAGAATTAAGTGATATAACAAACACGTTATGCTGTAGTGCAGACTCACCTCTTACATTCATCCACATCTTAGACTATCAAGTTTTTCTGCCACAAAGACTAGTTTACCCATATTCTGCATCACAGTGACTATTAGGCTGACCTTTCTCACACTACTTCCTGCTTTCCAATCTCAATCATAAAGGGCATGCATAAAAGAGGAAATGCTGGTAGACTTACTTTAACCCAGACTGAGGGTGTGAATATTCGTTTACAGTTATTTTCATCACCTGGTAGGTGTTACAGGGGCAGATCAAGAAACGTGCAAATACGTGGCCCAAAATGTGCAGACACATGTAAAAGGGAATCCACCATGTCAATAGCTACATGGATGAGAGAAGCTCCTGTAAGCTTTCCCAGAAGAGCCCTGAACGAGTACAGGCCACCAGCCCATTCTTTATTCTGCGTAAAAATTGATAGGTATTTGCACGCAAATTGTAGTTGCACATTTGTGTGGTGGAAAAAAGACAGAGGTTTGCCCGCAAAGGGTGATCTGCCTTCACCAGCCTCTTTGGGAGTCAGCACACAATGTCTTGCAAGGTATGATGAGGCCCTTACGCCAAATAAGAGTAGAGAAGTAAAAATATAGAGCCTGTAGTAATTAGAGATACTGAGTATACTATACATATGCTATGAGATACTAAACTATGTAATTGTAAGGTCGATTACCTTCCTTTGAGCAAGCATCAATGTATATATTTAAGATTACTAGGTGAAAGAAAATAACTGTTATGAGCAGCATACAGATTCCATCTTGTTCTCAAGACCAGCCATAATTAAAAACGTAGAAAGTCATAACAGTGCAAGAGCCTCTTATCTTGCCAACACATCGGGGCAATCTACCACATGCGTGTGACACCGGTATCACACTATTTCAACTCGTCCACTAACACATCAGCTACTTTTTTTTTAAATACCACGACTAAATCAACTACATATACCATGGCACTCCAAGTAGAGCTGCGCCCCGTAGAGGCNTCATGTGTCTTGATTGGGAAAAATTGGGGAAAATTGCGAGCATCTTACATACCATTGCAGCTGTGTTCTGTTGGCTGTAGCTGATGCCCAAGATGCAACATCAGAAATCTGTACAATGAACAAACTGGAGTATGTATCCACGATGTTCTGCACCATAACAGAAACAACTTTTATTTGTTTTTGTTTTTTCTAATTTAACCGTAATGTTCATGAGGACAGTAAACATTTTGGGCCCGTTTGTTTGGGGCCGAAACGTTTGAACAGGATCAATTGCTCCTGTTCTGCCTAAGCAATTGCAAACTCACTTCCAATAGATCACTGTTCGCAGTGACCCGCAGCAACTCTGGCACTTACTCAAGCAATAACGGTAGGTGTCATGAAAGTGGTGAAAACACTGGAAAACTCTCGCAATGATTACTTTAATATAATAAATATTTAAAAGTTTTATGTTATATACAATAAATTCTGGTGACATTATTCCAACGGCGAGTATTACCTGTGACAGTCGAATGTGCTGGTGCTGGAGCTGAAGTCGGAGGCACTGAAGGAGCGACACTGGAAGAGCCTGATGAAGCAGCTGCGAGTGAGCTGGGTGCTGTCCGAGCTGTCGCTAGGCAACGTGTGGGACGTAGACCTGCAGAAGAACGAGCCGATCATTCGCGACGTGATCCTCGTCGCACAGGGCGAGATGGCGCTCGAGGAGTTCCTAAAACAGGTGTGTGAGGGTGTTGTGAGGATGAGGGTGAGGGTGAGGGTGAGGGTGAGGGTGAGGGTGAGGGTGAGTATGATTGTGGGGGTGAGTATGATTGTGGGGGTGAGGGTAATTGTGAGGGTGAGTGTGATTGTGGGGGTGAGGGTGAGGGTGGTGGTGGAACAAAGTAAAGTGGGGCTTAGGTAATTTTATAGATGTGTGGCTGGTGGATAGTGTAAGGTTGGATTGAGTGATGGTATATAGTGGGGTTGAGGGATGGTATATGGTGGGGTTGAGGGATGGTATTTGGTGTGGTTGAGAGTTAGTATATAGTGGGGTCATGGGGGTTGAGGGATGGTATATGGTGGGGTTGAGGGATGGTATTTGGTGTGGTTGAGAGTTAGTATATAGTGGGGTCATGGGGGTTGAGGGATGGTATATGGTGAAGTTGAGGGATGGTCTGCTGCAGCTGCTAACGAGCCTGGCATGTTATGCAGGTGCGTGAAGCCTGGCAGACATATGAGTTGGACCTGATCAACTACCAGAACAAATGCAGGCTGATCCGTGGCTGGGACGATCTATTCACCAAGGTGAAGGAGCACATCAACAGCGTGGCAGCCATGAAGCTTTCTCCATACTACAAGGTGCGTGCTCTGTCAGGGTCAGATGTATGATATCATACAAATATGTTTGTTTTTATTAATAACAAAATGAAATGAAATTAATTTAAAATATTTCTAATAATTTTTTTTAAATTTTTTTTTATTGCTTTGCATTACATTATATTACATTGCATTACATTACATTACATTATTTTTTACATTATTTTTATTTTTTATATGTTTTTAATAGTTGTAAACTTAATGTAAAACAAGTGTGTGGTGGTCATTCTGGTATATATGTTGCTGTTTGCTGTTACCTATAGGAGTTTGAGGAGGATGCGTTGGCATGGGAGGAGAAGCTGAATCGCATCAATGCATTGTTTGATGTCTGGATCGACGTGCAGAGACGTTGGGTCTATCTAGAGGGCATCTTCTCCGGCAGCGCTGACATCAAACATCTGCTGCCTGTTGAGACATCGCGCTTCTCAAGGTGAGAGGTCTTTGCCTATCATGCCCCTGCGTTAACATGGCAGTGGTGGTCAACATAAGCACCAGTGTGGGTGCGATTGCAAGGATCAGCGTTTTAATCCTTGTGTAGATGGGTGGAGTGGGAAGGGGTGTGTGAATTGCTGTGGTCATTGTGAGCAGCAGTAGTGGGTCAGTGTAGGGTCAGTAGGGGGTTAGTGGAAGGATGGGGTCAGTGTGAGCAGCAGTAGTGGGTCAGTGTAGGGTCAGTAGGGGGTTAGTGGAAGGATGGGGTCA